TAAATCGCTGCAGTTTTTCACTTTCCACCAAAAAAGATGAAATATAGTTTCTTGAGCACGACCCTTTATCTATTAGCGTAAAATAATGTTTTTCCCAAATTTCAAAACACCATAAACAATTATATATATACTGAAATCAGCAATTATATGTGAGCGCCAAACGGTTGTGCTTGCTGTAGTAGGCCAAATAAAGTTCATACGAATCAATATGCCCAGCAGCGAGCGAGTCATTATGATTATTTGGCTTTATGTATGCTAATTGAGATCTACAAAATGATTATATTCACACTTGAAGAGCTTATACACTGGAAACATATTCTTTTACTCACACACACATACAAATATAGCTTTTCATATGGTTGCATTCGCCTGAATGCTCTCACATAATTGCACTCGTATTTATATAAATGTACATATGTATGTATGAGTGTATGTGCTCGGGCATAAATATAATATATAAAATACAATAAAATCTGTGCATTGATGTGCGAGCAATGTATTCAGTGAGCAAATGAACCGGCAAACAACTCAACGATTTTGCGAGTTCGGAATGTTAATGTGTGCTCTCCATCACACACACACAGTCGCAATCACACTAAGCTACAAGCATGTTATCTCCCAATATAGATGATAATGATGCAAAGAATAGACATTAGCAGCAGATATCTGTGTACGTGTGGCATATGTTGAACAACAACGGAACTTATGTAAATAAATAAATGTTGGTAAATGCGCGACACACACACACTTACAATATGCGGCTGTAGCAGCACTCCGGCAAACTACAAAACTAACGAGCGAAATGAACAAAAATAAACATGTGGCTTCCGCTGTACTTTGTTGGCTAACTAAGCAAATAATGAGAAGTTGTAGTTATAATAACAATAATTGTTTGTTGCTAATAGTTATAATTAATGAATACAGAGTCTTAAATACACATACCAGCGTTGTGTGCGCGCGCGCGTGTGTGTGTGTGTGTGTCTGTTTGCGAAAGTTCTCGCAAAGTTTTGATTTTACTTAGTTCGCATCTTCGCTCGTTCTACTTACCACGCACTCGGCAAAATCCGTTAAATAGAAAGTGCAGCGAAAGTGTTAAGCTGTGCTTATGTTCATGCATACATGTGTAAACCTGGGTGAATTTATGTATGTGTGTTAGCGTCGCTACTTACATTTGTATTTAATGCGTTGTCGAGGAAAATGATTGTGCTCACACGCATACACATATATGTATGTATATATTTTCATGGTTGCGTTAGTAACTCACAGTTAATCGTGCCGCAGCTTTTGCGAGTGTAGTGTGCGTGTGTATCAAAAATAATCAAAATTTAATTTTAGCCTTAAATGCGCGTTCTGCATAAGGCTTAGGTACAATTCTTGTATACATATATACATGCATACATACATACATACATACATACATATGTAAGCAATTAATTTGCTATTGATGATATTAAATTTAGTTTTTGAAATCAATTGTTCAATGCCATCATAGAAAGTTCTTAAAGTGTTCAAATTGTTTGCTATTTTTTGGCAGTAAGGGGTAACTAGGTCAGACTACATTTACATGTTTTTTAAAAATATTTGAAAAAATTATTATTTTTTTTAATTTTATAAGAAACAAGAAAAAACGTTGACTTCGAAGCTATAACACCCTTCACAGGTGCATTTTTTATAGCATAAAGGGTATACAAAAATCTTTGCCTTGAACTTGATCGGTCAGTCTGTATGGCAGCTATGTGCTATAGTGCTCCGATCTGTACAATTTATAAAAAAGTCAAAATTCAAATTTCGTAAAAATATTTTATCAAATTCAAAAGTTTTCCATACAAGACCTTTATTTGGAGGAGTCAATTTGTATGGCAGCTATATACAATAGTAGTACGATTTGAACAATTTATTGGGTGATTGTAGCATTGCTTTGTACAACAATCTAAGTAAAATTTTGTGAAGATATCTGGTTAAATAAAAAAAATTTCATGCAAGAACTTGATTTGGATAGGACAGTTTGTATGACAGCTATATGCTATAGAGGTCTGATATCGAAGATTTTGACAAATGAACAGCTTCTTGAGGAGAAAAGAACGTGTGCAAAATTTCAGATCGATATCTCAAAAACTGAGGGACTAGTTCGTGTATATACAGACAGAGAGAGAGATGGTTAGACAGACAGGACATGGCTAAATCGACTGGATTTCATGGCACACTTAACATACTCTGTTCAGAGAATGAAAATTTCAATTTTTTTGTAACACACGTTGTTTATCGGTTAAAGCCAGATTTTTTCGATTTATTAAATTAGAAGTTTTCAACTTATTTGTTTGTAGTTTTGCTTCAACTTCACCGATAATCCCCCTTTAATCCACTTACCAGAACGTTACCATTTAAAAGGAATGTTTGCGCACTTCCGGTTTAGTAAATTTCAATTTATTTTAAAGCGGATTTCCGCCTGTCAGCGCGCGAAATTTCCAGTGCAAGTGGTGAGCATCGCCAAAAAATATAAACACTTTTCACCGATTGCTACCAGTATAGTAAATAAAGTAAATCACCGAAAATCTGCGGTCGTGAATTCTAATTTATTTATGCAAAGGCTTAAGTGCCAAATCCCCAAAACAAAGAGCAAAGTTAAAAAATGCATTCCTCCAAACATATGCACATGCGCATAATTTATTTACTCATTTGATTTCATGCGCACTTATTTATACATATTTGATCAGCGACAATTGAATATCTAGATAAATTAATAAATTGAAAATTTTCGGCCGCATATTTAACAAACCGCACTTTCAATTTAATACCAACGCACAAGTACGCGTACACCGTAATAATTACTATCACACCCATAATCAGCATTCACGCCGCACACGCCATTACATACGGGCACTTTTGGTTTCGAATAGCAATTTTCATGCGCATGTGGTTTATGAATACATTTGCATATGTTTATCTACCTGCGATTGGAATTTGACGCTGTTTATTATTTCGTGTTTTTGTTCTCTTTCTGTATTCTAAATACACACCGTATTATTGCATATTTTTGTGTAGTCGACCGTGAAGTTGATGATATCGAAATTAAGTTCGTTCAGTGATTTTGCCGAATTCCACATGTGATTTTAACGGTATCATGTCATCGGTGTGCGAATATGCATGCACTTTTAAATAATTGCCAGTTGAATGTATTCTCAGTGCATAATAGCGCAAGTTGAATGCGAAACATATGATACTGTTTTCAAACAGTTGATTATTTCGTTGCTATTCACAAATTTGTGGCTCATCATTTACATACTTAATCACGGCGCAAAATAAATGTGAAATATGTTAACAACTGCTGGTGATGCAAATTATGTGTGTGAGTGGGCATAGCACGTTTCAAAGCGCTTAGATTTAAATGGTATGCATACAAATACTTTTGTGTGAAATACAACTATGTTTTTCCAATATTTGCTTGTAGATTTAACGCTTTTGAATGAACATATGAAATTAATACTCAGTAATTATTTTTATGCTTTCGCAACATGTTGCAACAGAGAGTAGGTGAATCAAAAATTAATGCAGTTATTGAAATGAAATCTTGCACAAATAATGTCTATAGAGTATAAGGACGTAAGGTAGGTTCAAAAATAGTAGAAATCGGACCATTACTTTTCAAGTCCCCAGCTACCGAATATGTTAACCTTAGAGCCTAAAGTTGATATACAAGTATTACCAAAAATATACAATAGGTAAACCTCTGAGGTATATTATTGAAATTGTGTCAAAGTTGATAAAAAATAAAAATAAAATAAAAGTCTTCGAGCATGTGGCAGACTTGATACCACATATTTATATCAATATACCTGTTATCCTATTGAAATGCAGAGAGCATCTTTTTTTGGTAATAATATGTTGTGATACCAAAAAAATTAATAAAATCGGGTCAACACTACCCTTAGCCTCCATATACCTTATATACGAATTTCAAACTTCCGGTGGGCTTTATCGATCAACATGTATGATATTTTAACAAACTTGAGTGAAAACTATATTATATCCAGTATTATAATATAATATAGTTTAATACCGAAAATATGTGAAATCGGCCCATGAATTACCCCTGCTCCATATACTATATATAATATCATAAATTTCGTTATTCTAGCAGACTTACGAAAATAGTTCCCCGGCTTTAATGCTTGTAAGCGAGAGTCTAAAATGTTTGATTGCTACCTTGTTATCCATTAAATTTCCAAAATAGAGGTTAAAGCATGTCTAAATTTGCGATAATATCTGGCAGAAAATATCACGAATTTCATAGAAAGATTTTAAAAAAGACTACTACTTCCAAAGGGATTAACTCCAGAAGTCTTTTTATGAGAATTTCTTACTTTAAATGTCATGAAAATCACACATAATTCTTTCAGGTTATGTTACAGTAATTTAATATAAAAACTAAATTTCAAAACTCACGTTAAAATTTCTTTGCAACACAAAATTTACAATTTCTTCGGAGATTGCACTATTACCTTAAATAATACTTTATGCCAAATTTCGTAAAGATACCTCGTAAAATTAAAGAGTTTTCCATACAAGCACTTTCTTCCGATTGTTCAGTTTGTATGGCAGCTATATGCTATAGTGGTCCGATAGCGTGCAAAATTTCAGATCGATAGCTTAAAAACTAAGTGACTAGTTTGCATTTATACAGACGGACATTGCTAAATCAACTCAGCTCATCATGCTGATCATTTATGTATATATTTTATAGGGTCTCCGACGTTTCCTTCTTGGTGTTACAAAATTGCAGGGAAATTTAAAATGATTTAAGAAGGTGCTTCAAAATATCTATGGGTTGTTTGTTAAACTCACTTCTAAAGAAATAATAAAAATACAGAAAAAATAAGGTAGCTTGAAGTTTAAAAATGAACGGACTTATACGTATACCCTTTATGTCATATCAAATACGTACTAATTTAATTTGTTTTTTGTTTGAGTTTTAACAAATTTCCTCTGTATTCTGTTTTCAGATCTATAAAAATATTTCACCCATTCGACAGTCGGTTCCCTCGCGATTACTTCCAATAATTGAAAAGTAGTAATTCGCTGCGATTACAGTAATTCAATTCAGCTGAGTAAATAGAAAATGTGGCAAATTGTTTGGTTGCAAAAATGCTCTACGAATATCAATAAACTGAATGTCTCCAAAGGCAATGAAATGTAAACAGATACACGATGTAGATAAAAGCAATACAAGATGGCTTGCAGTAAATGGACCGAGTTAAGAAAATACCGGAGCTGTCTTGCGAGATACTTATGCAAATAGTGTTGTTGTTGTGCATTGAAAAGTACTTAGAAGAAGGTAATGTGCGTAGTTACTTTTATCAGAGTTGCCTTTGTGCGAAATGTGTGTGTGTGTGTGTGTGGTTGGACGGACGGACGATAAAGTGAAACTGCTTCGAGTATTAACTGTGAAATAGTTGTGCAAAGTGCAAAGTGCTGCAGTAAATAATATTTTAAAGTTCATGCAAAGTGAAAAAGAAAGCGCTTACGGCGAAGGTGTATAAAGTGATAAAATATGTGAAAAGTGGTGTGAATAAAGTAGGTTAAGTAAAATAAAGAAGAAATAAAGTGGTTAAATAAAAAGTGCGTGTGGTGGCATAGAAGAAGCTTAATAAAATTGCAATAAAAGTGTTATGTAAAAAGCAAATTTTAGCAATATCATTTATTGTATTATATGCATAAGGTTCCTGAAGTTAATAAAAATGTGTAAAGTTTGTGGTTTATTGCAAAAAAAATTAGAATAATAAAAAAAAAATCAAAATTTATGTAATAAAAGTGAAGCAATTTAAAAAAGGAGATGTGATAAAAAGTGAAATAAAAGTGATGTATGTAAGCGAATAAAAGCAACACAACAATGGAAGCGTAAATCTCCTGCAATTCATAATTTTCAGCGAAAGAGTAAGTGTGTGCTTTTCTTAAGTTATATTGATACACTATGCTTTCATTTGTATGTTTATAATATTTATGTATCTGTATATATCGGCAAAACTTTATAAAATAACGGTTATTTACCCTTAGTTGAGAGGGGGGTGGTTCCTCAATGTAGTTTTTATTTCATCTTATTCCTTTGTTAAAAAAAGTAGGCTAGGTCAATATATACAACAAATGTGAAAATAGGGAAGTTTTGTGGTTGAAATCATGTCAAATCAGTCAATCAGCAAAAAAAAAGAAAAAAAGTAAACTCACCTGGGTATATAACGTAGAATACGTATGGTAAAATCTTAATAATATTACTTATACTTGGTTTCGCGCAAATTAGTTTGTTTAGATTTGGAGTTATGCATATATAAATAATCAGGATGACGAGACGGGTTGTATTTCGGGTCAGTCCATCTATTTGTCTGTGTAAACGATAACTACAGTTAAAAATAAACCAATGCAGATATTGGAACAAAACTTGTATTGGAACAAAACTTGTATTGGAACAAAACTTGTATTGGAACCAAACTTGGCGTAAAGAGTGTCTTCAAGGTATGGCGTTTCTTTCACGAAAATCCTTAGATACAAATTTTGTGGACTTAAGTGCCTTTGTCTTTGACTTTGTATCGAAAAGATCTGCTTATTTGTGAATTATATTAATGAAATTCCGAGAAGACCTCTTCCTGACAATAATGTGCCTTTGTATCACAAATGGGTAAAATTGGTTCAATAGTTCGCTTAGCCTTTTATAGCTTATATAAAAATTTTCGAACTTCCGGTTGACTTTATATCGTTTATATCGCTCAGTCTGTGAGATACCTTAATGAAACTCAGAGATTGTCTTTTTCTGGTAATAATAATTTGTGCTGCCAAAAATGGAGTCAATACTATCCCTTGCCTTCATAAAAAAGTGTTTCTCCGACAATCCAGTGGATCTTAAATTGCTTGTTTATGAATGAAATCGGTCTAAACCACAACCGCTAATATATAGGTATTCGTGCCTCCAGTCACTTTCCTCTAATATACCCCATATTTAAAATTTCGTCCCTTTATATATCTTGTATATATCTTATATCTGTATAGAATATATGCCAATTAAGTCAAGCGTGGATATCTTAATTAGTTAGATTGCTTTTAATATAAAAATATCCGAATAAGTCATTATATAACCTATAGTTTAAGTTATTTGGTATATGATTGCGATAAATCCATAATTCCACCAAATTTTTCGCATCATTTTTGAAATATTTAAAAATTCATATCTTATATCATCCCCGGCTTTGATCTTTGAAAATTGAGGAAAACTGAAATATTCGCTTGCACCAGAACTTTGTTCTTTCTGACATTTTTTTAATAAAAATTTTTATTTTTATATATGTATATTTACATTATTTAATTTAATGTCCAAATTCAATGATTTTATACAAGTAAATGTTGTTATGTACTTAGGAAAAGCTGAAGAGTTCATACATTAACTTGACTTTTACTTGCTATCGGATACCAATTTACTTTACATCAATAACAGTAAAGGCATACGAGTTCGATTGAACGAACACTTTGTTCAACCGCAACAGACATATTGAAGTTCGTTGCAAGTTTTTCGCAATGCGTTGCACAAATAAATGCAGGGCTTGTAGGAAAATTTGATTCGCGTAGATAATTTAAACCGAAATCAGTACGCAAGTGCAATTGAATACTTTTTAATTAAAAATAATGTTTTTTTTAAGAAAATAAAATTTAATAATCCAAAAGTTATATTATTTAATGTGTGTAACAAATCCAATTTTGTCAGCTGTCAACGCACTTCGCTTGAAATCTTTTTCCAACCAGATTTTTGATATCTACTCTAACACAACTGGCACTCTCTTGTACTTAATCCGCACAGTATGTTAACCAAGAGTACCTAGCAGCATATGCAAGAAAAGACCATGATATGAAAACGAGTAGCTGTAAAGTAGCCCAAATAATTGTTAGCCATTTCGTATTAAGTGTTTGGAAATTCTTGTTACTCTCTTTGTAGTCTATAGTTATACTTACGAATATTTGTATTTGAATGTTCGTATTCATTGCAAATTATTGTTAGATTAGGTAAAACGCTTTAGCTCAGTTTAAGTGCAATCGATTTGTGTTTCGGTGTGAGGAGGTTCTAAACGCTTTAATAATTTTGTAGATTGGTGCTCGGTTTAATTGTGACTTTTTTTGCTTAGGCTAGTTTGCAATTTCTATGAATATAAATGCACATATCTGATTTGCAGGGCTCAGATTTATTAAAGTGAAAAAAATATATAATTTGATTTACAATAAGTGTACGAGAATGTTGGAATTTTATTAATACCGCCTCTTATAATCTAATTCCACGAAATTTATATATAAAAGTTCGTTAGTTCTTAGTAACGCATTTATAATTTAATTATGATTTTTTATTTAAGAGAAAAATTCATATTTTTACCAAGCGATATAAAAAGGTTGTTGTTGACGAAAAAAATTTCTATATGTATGTTTGCTAAGTGTGCTTTTTCTGCACGTTCTACTGTACTTTAATAAGCTTTCTCATTTACAACAACGCTGTGCTTTTTGCACAATTTTACGCGATTTTAATACACAGCAGCAGCGTCATGGCATCCGCGCTGGCAACAGGATAATAAAATAATAAACTTATTGTATTGTAGTGACAGCAATGAACAGAATTCGCTGCTGGCTTGTGCCCGACCACAGCCACATAGTCATTCACTCACTGATTTCCAGTGCAAAGAAAAACACTTCGCTGCGTTGCACGCTGCCGCCTGTTGCTGTATAACACATTAACGCCGCGCTGTGCTTTACACCGACATGCTTATGTACATAGTACGCATGGATATATATATATATATATATATGTATATATACATTCACATATACATGTTGTTTCTTATCTCTTCTTGTGCCCGTAAATCTGTTCTCGTTGGGTGCAGCGTTGCCTCCTGCGGTGGATTCCCTACCCTGGCACTTTCTCCATCTGCCTTCGCTGCTTTGTTTGCATTCATTTACGGCATTGTGCAAAATCTATACTGAAAATTTGAAGTTTTCATACAAAGTACATTTTTATAACGGGCAGCAATTTATCCTTTGTATAGCATTCCCTAAAATAATTATTAACTCTTCACTAAATCTGTATTTGTCTAACTGTAATAAAGTAATCATTTTGCCCAACACTGTAGCTGATTTTTATACCCTCAACAGGATGTATATCAAGTTTGCCACGAAGTTTGTACAAGTATCACCCAGAAGAAAATTTTGGAGACCCTACAAAGTATTATATAATATATAAATAAATGATCAGCGTGCCGAGTTGAGTCGATTTAGCCATTTTCGTTTGTCTGGCTGTCCGTCTATATATACGCGAATTAGTTGCTCTGCTTTTGAGATAACGATCTGAAAATTTTCACACGTATTTTTCTCCCCAATAACTTGCTCATTTGTCGGAATGTCAGCTATCGCACCACTATAGCATATAGCTGTCATGCAAACTGACCGATCAAAATCAAGTTTTTGAATGGAAAAATTTTTAACTTCATAAGATATCATCACGAAATTTCGCATAGATTATTATCCAAAAAACTCTACAATCTCCGAACATGTTGTTTTGATGGGACCACTATAGCGTATAACAATCATACAAACTACCCGATCAAAATCAAGATAAAGATTTTTGATACATTTTATATTTCAAGTGTTTCTGTGAACTGTACTATAGGGTATTCCTTGGAACTAAAAACGACTTAATATTTGCTTGCTGACTTGTTGAAGAATTAAGGCAAAACTAAATCTAAGAGCGGCAATCCAAAATTACGTATGAGTATAACTGCAAACTTGTCAAATAAGAGAGACACATTCAAATCAGTTAGTTTATGTTCCACTTCACATATAATATTATGTGAGCCAGAGTTAATAAAAATGCATGACTTATTTATGAATGTTTGTGTTAATATAAAAACGCTGCGTGAATTTGACAAAAGTAACAATATTAAAATTGTGGTAACGGCACTAAATTATGAAGTCTACACCTAGGCGCGCTAAAGTGCACCATAAAGAGATGCTGAGAAAGTAATAATAAATAAACAAAAGAAGAAAGGATATGGAACGCACTTCGCTAGGTAATAATGTGCAAATATGAAGTATATGGCTTGGAAAAGTTTCCTCTGCGTGCAAATGAAAAGAAATATTCCTCGAGGTGCCACATAAGCGCACACGCCCCCCGGGCAAAGTTTGGAAGTATGCAAAGTTAAATACTCATTTGCGTTGAAATATGTGTCACTTTAGCTGCGCACCGCTGAGATTTTTATGGGTTCACTTGAGTATTTTACGCACAACGACAAATGCAAAAATCTAATAATAACTAAGGAAATGGCTGCATTTCTCGAAGAAGACTTTGAGTGCGCAGACACATATTTTACATGTTGGTTTTGTTGTTCATTGTAGACAATTTAAAGATAAAAGTTGGGATCATTATCTAAACTACAAAGGCATATTTTGTTCTATGCATTAAAAATGTGTCTGAATTCTTTATATTAGCAACAAATTCAGAACAAAAAACACTAACTATCGCTCGCATTGTCACTTGGCATATAGAACACTTAACGTTGGAAAAGGGTAAAGGAGCGCAGTAGCAAAGGCGCTACCTACTTTGGAAAATAGAGTAGAAATTAAATTACTCCCAAGTGACTACTAAATAAATTAAGTCCTAATTAATGGCCATTAACAGTCACCCGCTAACAGCGCCACAGCGTAGGGCTACACCCCGAAAAAAGAGTAGATGCTGCGAAGGAGCCGAAACCACAACAGCAAGACCAAAGCGGCAAGCGGCAAGCATTTTTGCACACAGCGTGCAAAATGTTGAATTTATTATTGTTGTTCAGTAAAGGAGAAGATTACGCCACACTTGCTGTGCCACAATACAAACAACAACAGCTACATTAAATATACCACAACTAATGTGGCCA